GGGGGTCGTCTTATACGCCGAGTCGTCTTATACGCTGGAAATACTGGTAGTTTCCGGTGTATAAGACAACGTTCTAGAAATGCAGCTCGGCGATAAAGACAGGGATCGTCTTATACGCCAGGTCGCCTAATACGCCGGCATATACGGTATATTAAATTGTTACTAGCCTATGAGGAATGGCTAGGTAAGGATTGTGTAGCAGTATCTGGTGCATACATACATATAGATGCAGAGATTTTCTTCCTCAAGCAATCCATCTGTTTAATTCAAATCCAGAATAACATCAGCCTGGTAAGTTTGGGTTTATCATCCAAGGAAAGGCAGGATTTTTTGTCCAAGAAATTGTCTCCTTTCTAACTTTTTATCAGTAAACATAATACTGCACATACACAAATGGGCAACTTTGCAAGATACTTGTGTAATGCAACGAAGTCTGGTTTGTTGGGGGGGGTTTTGTGGATGTAATGGCATTATTTGGGTTCAGGAAAAGGATAATTGGATCAAACTGTTTAAGAACCACTGATCTAGGATAATAACATCAAAATTTCATTGGAAATACTCTTTAAAAAAGAATGCCTTAATGCCCATGCCAGTGACCGTGCTAAATCAGATAATCTTACTCTCCGTTGTACAAATAAATTAATGAAAGTATGCTTCGGTACTAATAATATCTATATGAAAGACTCACAATGATAATTGGTTATATTTCATGTGTAAGTTGTTTTTGTACATCAACTGGAATCTGTCCATCTGGGCTAAAAATTCTGTTACTAAACAGCATAAATAAATTATATGTTTATGGGTCGTTATATGATACCTACAGAACAACATTTGTACTTGTCAATATTGTCTTGGTTTATTCAGTTAATAAATAATGTAATAGCATATTTAATGTTAGCTAAGCATGCATGCATATCTTTTCAAACAAGAACTATTTGAAAGATCAAAGAGAAAAATGAAACTGCGTTCACGGCCTATGAATGGCCTCTGTTTTGATAGGCCAAGACAATTATCAAACCTCACTAAGCTAAACCAAAAGCTTAAAGCTTAAAGCTTTAACACTTTGTTTCAAACAGATTAATCACTGCAATGGCCTATGGCACGGTCTGTATTCTTAACAGCTTTAAAAAATAAATTAATAAAGGTTAGTAGCCAACAAAACATTTTAGCCTCCTGGAGGCTTGTAAAGAAGCAATAAAACATTCTATAATATCTTCCCTGTCATTTAGATGTCCTCACAAACGAAAACTATCCTGTCTTAATTCAGAGGAGAGGAAGCCTGGATTTCCATTTTAGTTTCCCCAGGAACAATTTCTTCTCCTAATTGTTCCAGCTTTCTTTCCATCTTCCTTCCCTTCAATGTATCTCAAACCCCTCCTCATACCATGAGTGAATTCAGAGCACTCACTTGTGGTGTTCGCAGCCTCATATAGAAAGGCTACAAGACAATACAGGCAGTCCTTGATTATCTTCTTTATTTTATTATTTTATTTTTGTATTTATTTAATTTCTGTAGCCGACATCTCAATCCAACTGTTTTAGCAAACCACAGTTGGGACCAGCAACTTGGCCGTTAAGTGAAGCAGCCTTTAAGTGAAATCACAACTGTGTTTATGATCTTACTTCAGCTTTCCTTCACTTTGCAAACCTGCAAAGGTTGTAAATGCAAGGATTGTTCATAAAAATACTTTTTTCATCAGGGTCATCATTTTGAAGGGTTGCAAGACTTCCAGGGACAACAAGGGCAGACTGAACATGGCTCTGCCTTTTGCCGTTTTAGCTCCTCAGAATTCTGAAGATGTACGTAACAGGAGATAACAGAACAAATTGATTTTATTGGATTAAAACTGAGACTAACTTGAATGTGGATTTAGTGTTTTAAAAATATGCTCAATTACAAAAATGACATGGAAAAAGATGCCAGGGTGGATTTACAAATGGAATCAGCTGGTATCTTTATAATTAAAGGAGACATAGAAATAATAAATTAGAAGAGTGACTTGGAAATCTTAGATTTACAAAAGGAATGTGTGAAATAAAGGAAACTGTTTCTGAGAGGAGATAAATTACTCAAATTGTTCCTAAAAGGAGATAGAGAGAAAATGATAAGAAATCAGCTTGTGGGATACCGCTGGACAGGCTTAAAAATTAACCTTTTTAAAAGTAAACAGAAGGACTGCAAAGTGAATCTATTTGATCAGGGTTAAAATATATATGCTGTGGTTCCTGGCAGCTATTAATGGGATTTCTTTTGGGCCAGGTGAATGACAAGCTTTAAAAATCTGTTTATAAATGGGAAGATATTTCTTTTGCTTTATTTCCTTGAGAAAGTGATAAGTTTAGATTACAAAATAGGTATTTTTTTTATTAAAGTTAAAAAGTATTTGTTAACATTTTGGCTAGCTCTTAATAGACTTTTACTGATTGGAACTGAATGAGGTTTTATCATTTGATTGTCAATAAAGGATGAGATATGGGAAGAAGGGATTTTGTATTGAAATACTAGAGAAGGTGTTAAGTTATTGAAAATGTTTATACTTGTCGGGGAGAGTCCTCTTTTATGTCATATTTTCCTTTTTTTTTTCTTTCCTTTTTTATTTTCCTTAGTTTGTATTAGTGTTTTATCTATGTACTTGTAAATCTTATTAAAATTATTGTTAAAAATAAGTCACTTAACAAAGCAGTTGCTAAATGAGGACTACCCATATTTCCTAGAAGCCATATGGTATGGTTGAACAAAAAAAAAATGCTTATCACACACTTAAAGGGAGGAAGATTTTCCATGCTCACTGCCAGCAGTGAGTAAGAAAACTCAATGGGAAAGTGAAAAGGAAGTCAGAAGTTGTTCCTGCTTCCAATGATATTTTTGCTTCCCTGTAATCTTTCTGTTTCTCTGTCGCAAATGGAAAAATCTCTGAAACGATGACACAATGGGTCACAGGTTGTCTGGTCTAGATTAAAATCCATCTCATACATTATTGCAACAATTGAGACTTAACCCAGTTCATCGTTGTGCTACATATATAGTGATGCTCAATACAAACATACTTCCTGCCTACATATTTATATAAGAAGTATTATTGGCTACATACAGAATAATGAGAGAGTATTCTTCAAAGTATTATAGATTAGTGTTTTATAGGGCATTGAACTAAATATATACAAAACTGGCAATCACCCAAAAACACATTATGGCAAACTCTTAGCAGTTTTTCTCATTATACTTACCGTAAATGCCGGCGTATAAGGCGACTTCCGCAAGCGCTGAAATCGGCGCCAAAGACGGGGGTCATCTTATACGCCGAGTCGTCTTATACGCCGGAAATACTGGTAGTTTCCGGCGTATAAGACGACGTTCTAGGAATACGGCCCAGCTATAAAGACGGGGGTCGTCTTATACGCCGGGTCACCTTGTACGCCGGCATTTAGTAAGACAGTGCCATACTGTGGACGGTCCTGTTTCCAGGCTGTTACACTCCGCAGTCTCTTGCAGGTACAGTAAGCATGTTTTCTGACCCAGTTTCCTTACCAATCTCTACTTAGCAGTATGCTAAAGATGCTTCTAGCATGCCAATCGGGGGCTGCAGCCTGCAGTGCAGTTCACTGTAGCACATCCACAGTTCTGACTTGTTAAAAAAACAATCAGTGGAAAAGTACAGGATCTGCTATGTCTGTTTGAGTGAAAGCCACTTTCATAAATCTGTTTCATATGCCTTTTCATGTTTGTGCTCTCAGCAAACAGAAAGGGTTTTTAAAGCTATGTTGTGATGAAGAGTCTGTTAAGAAGGAATTCAGGTTTCTCTCTTCATTGATAGTGAAAAGAAGAATTCCATAAGTCCATAATGGATATAGAAAGTCTACATACACCTGTTAAAATACCAGGTTTTTGAGATGTAAAAAAAAAAATCAGACTAAGATAAATCACTTCAGAATGTTTCCCATCTTTAATATAACATATAAACTGTACAATTCAATTGAAAAACATCTTTTATAAAGGAAAAATAACAATTAAAATCTAGAATGATGTGGCTGCATAAATGTTCATACCCCCTTTTATGTACGAATGTGACAGTGTTCAGAATTAACAGAATCACATTCAAACTGATGGTAAATAGTAGTCAGTACACATCTGCCATAAGTTAAACTGACTCTGATCAAGTCCATATGAAATTCAGTTGTCTTCTAAATTCAGGGTCTTCTAAACCAGTGTTTCTCAACCTTGACAATTTTAAGGCATGTGGACTTCAACTCCACATGCCTTAAAATTGTCAAGGTTGAGAAACACTGTTCTAAACTAATGTTTATCTAATATGCTGAGACTGCAGTCCATCATAAGGATGAACAAACAAGGGCACGACAGAGACTGTAATTTTGAAATTGAGTCAGAGGAACCCTTTTGGAGGGGGGTGTCATAACTTCAAATGGTCCTTAACTCGAGGAGTATCTGAATAGTTGTAATTAATATACTAAAATAACAAACAAGTAACTTCAAACAAAATTCAGCACTTTTTAGAACACAAACACATGCAAATGTCTTGCTGAACATTTGTATTTCTGTTCATTAGAAAAGAGGCTTTTCTTTCCCTGGCTGTTTTTCAGAGAGAGTACTTCTACAATTAACTTTAGTATGAAATCCAGCATATTAGGGTGGTAATAATGAATGGAGATTATTAAAGCCAGCCTTTCACAATTCAAATATTTTGTGCAAAATAACTTATCTATATTCTACAAAGAATTGTCTACAAAAGTGCGTATTAGAGACTTTTGTGTTGTAAAAAAGCAAGTATAGGGAAAGCTGCAATCAAACTATTTATTAAAAGAGCAGTATAGAGAACCACATTTGGATTGTCTTTCAGTTTTCACAAATTAAATAATTGGCAGAATATTAGATATAATAAGTAAATGCATGCAATATTGATTCAATGGATTGAGACAGTACAGCATCCCTTGTGCCAGAGGCACCATTCAAATTAAGAAAAGAAGGCATCGTTTTTCCTTACCTCAGATGCACCAGAGAGTTTGGGCACTGTAGCAGGAGCAAAAGAGGACTCTTTCAAATGATGCTCTATTGATCTCTTTCTGTCCTGGCTCTCTCTTTCGCACGGCATCTCACTTCTTCCAAGTTGACCATAGTCTCCTCTACCCCAGGTGAAGACTTTCTCTGTCTCTAGATATCAGTGACATAATTGCAGTGTTAGTTCTTGAATTGGCAATTAGATAAAAACATAATAAAATTATTAAGCTGGACAAGATTGGAATGCATCACATTAAGCTTTCCTTTTCATTAAATATTTATTTTTCTTCAGTTTACATATTTTGCACACAATTGATTCATAAATAGCACTAAATATGAATGGGATTGCATGGTTTTGGCAGTAGAGTTTCTATGAATTCAACCATGGTGATTTGTTGAGCATGATTTCTTTTGTTTGTTATATTCATATTCTATATTCTATATCTAGGCAAAAATGAGAGACAGACGGGGGGGGGAGAGAAAGTACCCTCCTAGCAGAACATTTCTGCCTTAGTACAAAGTGTGAACTTAGTTTATTAGAATTTAGTCCAACAAGTTTAGCAAGTTTAGAAATCCACCCTAAACTGAAATATAAAAACATGTGTATGTTCAAGTAACATGTACATATCACTTTTAAGATGAAAAGATGTCCATACCCAAAGCTACTACCCAAAATTTGTGACACTAATAGAGACTTGCTTCCCAGTTTTTTTGACCTGACAATCTATCTGTCATTTCAGCCCTCCAGAATCATCAGGAGCAAATCTCAGGTTTGTGAATATTTTAGCTTACTTCTCACCAATTTTCTCCTAATCTCCTGTGAGAGGAAATGAGTCAAGAAACTCTCCTACATATGGATGAAATACTCAATTAACATTTTTTCCAATTCTACCTGGAAGTCACAAATTGGCCACATTAGCCATAGCTTTGTCCTATTTAAAATTCATGATACAACTTTTCCCTTGAAACTTGTAATAGTAATAACTAAATACTGACTGCAAATCTAATTTTAGTGATTTTATTATAAACATATCTGACATAATTCCATAACAAAATTAATTGCAGCTCTCCAAATACAAGTCAAATCTTGATTTCTAGTTTAACAGAGCTTAAAAAGAACAAGACCTGAGACATGATTTATATCAGTGGTTCTCAACCTGTGGGTCGGGACCCCATTTGGGGTCGAATGACCATTTCACGGGGGTCGCCAAACAAGGCTGTCCGCCATTTTTTCCCCTTTTCTTTGGCCACGCCCCTAGCACCCGGTGATGTATAAGTGGTTGGGGGTCACCACAACATGGGGAACTGTATTATGGGGTCGTGGCATTAGAAAGGTTGAGAACCACTGATTTATATTTAACTAAAGATATATGAACTAGTGAAATCACCTCTTGGATACCCCAGCTTTGTTTCCATTACTAAACTAAACTAATTTTAGATTCTTTGATCTACCACTGGCAAAAAAAATGACTACTGAGATTTTATATGAAGAAAGCAAGTTGTTCTATTTACAAAGCAAGTTGGTTCTATCTGTATTCTTATTTTACATTGTGAACGGTTTCTTAGTTACACATGACTGTTCCTTGCTATTATTATTTAGCTTACATTAGCATTAATCCATTCCATGAGCAAGGTAGCTGCTCCCTGAGCAATAAACGGAAATCCCTCTTATGTTTAGAAGGCGAGTACCCATTCTTAATTTACACTGATTAATAACTTGCACTTGCATATTACAATTGTTTTTATTTCTACCTCCATTGCTACTTCATCTTGTTTCACAGTGTACCATTATCATTCTTTTATTACATTTCACATTAGGAATTGAATAGTTTATTTTATCTCATGGGCTTTGGCCCCTTTTATAATTAAGCAAGGGAGTCCTCCTTTTTCTTAATACACATATAGCTAAGAAGAGGATTGTGACTAGCTACAGCCACAAATTCTGCCTCCATATTATCTAAAAGAGTCTATACATCTTATCCACAATGTCAGGGATTCTGCCAATTTAATTGCATACTAAATATATATTAGAGCCTGTTTCAAGCTTCCAGAAGAGAATTATGCAAGTTGGCTGTGTCCTTTCAATCCCCAAACCATGTTAGCTAGCATGGCTTGAAGCTGGATTCTGCATGTATTCACAGGAGGTTTCTGCACAATCAAGGCTCTTTTTAATCACTTACAGATTTGATTTACATTCTTATATATTTCAAGTTTTATATAAAGTACCTACTACAACTCAAAGTAAAAGGGATATTTCTGGAGATTCCATGGACATGTAGAAATATTTAAAAGTAGATATTAATGGTGCCTGCAAGAGGATAGCTGTCACAATCAAATATCAGAATCTTTTTCCAAATTTAACTAAACTCTAACTCAACCAGAATACTATCTTAATTCAAACATTTTACACAATTATTTTTCAATTCATATTTCACTGCATATTCAAGACCCAAAAATATCAGAGAATGTTCTTATACCTGAACATGGCAAAATAGCTGATATTCTTTTAGAAGTTGTTGGACTTCAGCTTCAACTTTGTCCTTAGTTGATTTTCTGTATCACCTAATCAGTACATTGCATCTTATTACTCACTGCATGAAAAGTCTAAATTAGACCAGATACCTTTTTGCCTCTATGTCAGGGCTCTTCAAACTTGGCCCTTTTATGACTTGTGGACTTCAACTCCCAGAATTCCTCAGCCAGCCTGGCTGAGGAATTCTGGGAATTGAAGTCCACAAGTCATAAAAGGGTCAAGTTTGAAGAGCCCTGCTCTATGTTTTCAGTGTCTGCTGAGTTTTTTCACCACTACAACTTCAGCTTATCAACCCTGAATACTTAAGATTTATATGATGACATAAAACATAACATTTGCCATGTAATTGGCAAATTTTACCTTGAAGGTATCAAAAACAATCAAGATTAATTTATTCAGCTTAACATTTGACAAAGCTATTTGAGACAGCAGCAATGATCATAAACAGAAAAATTCAATACACTAAGTAATTCTTTGGACAACATATTTATTGTTATAAAGCACATACTTACATACAGACGTACATACATATGAACATCCAACTGTAATTACTGCCTGTGCTCAGTCACTCATTAGATGTATTTTGTACTAGAGTGAGACATACTAAATTCTATACGCATGCCACTAGATGTTAAGTCTTCACTATCTGTGCTGTTCAATATTTGAGAAAATATTATACAAAGATAATACTTTTATTATTCTTCTATGTTTAGTATTATTCTAATATATATAATATATAATACTAAAATATTTAATTATTTAGTCCTTTTACTATGCAATACTAATTAAGTATTATTCTCCTAAATTAATTTGGACAACCTGAAACTCTCTTTTGGATTCCAACCATTACAGCTGCTTTTTATTAGCCATGTTGTATGGAGACAGATGGCAGTTTAAATCCAAACATCTCTGACAGAATGAAGAAGGTAAATATTGACTGCCATCCTGTTGGGTTACTGCTCAGTCATACAAACTGTAATTGTGGTTGATAACTTGAATCTGAAAAAAGAACAGATAAAGGGCTTCATAGACAGTCGTGGGAGGGAGGGGCTGAAATAACTTAAGAATCTAGAAAGGAAGACTTAAGGGAAAAAAGATAGTGGCTAGGAATGAAAAATCGTATTACACTATTACAAGTGGCTGAAGAGATACATGTCCCAGAATCATTCATGATGAAGGACACCATAAGATCGCTATGCAAAGAGGACAACACAGTGTGAGATCTATCTACCCTCCACAGATATCCAGAGGGAGAACAACAGACACTAGAAAAAAAAAATAGAATCAAGTTTTGCTCAGCGTAAGAGTTTGCCAGTTAAGTGAAGCATTCAATTAAGTATTTGGGGAATTTAGTAGCAGTTACATTATATGATAATGACATTATTATTTTAGCAGTAACAGTAGTAGCACAGAAAGAGACAATCACTGAACTGTGGAATAAATTAGGTCATAAAATAAGTTGCACTTTCCCTTGCCTTTTCTTTATTGTACAAAACTGCTTTAATTGGTTTTAAGAGTCAAATGTTGTTAATTGTGTATGCTGCCCAGAGTCACATGCAAATCACATGGAAGGAAGGAAGGAAGGAAGGAAGGAAGGAAGGAAGGAAGGAAGGAAGGAAGGAAGGAAGGAAGGAAGGAAGGAAGGATTTATTAAAATATTAAACTACTGTGAGAAATCTCACCTTCTTTCTGCCACTGACCTAAAATGCACATTCACATGTATTTGGCAAGAGCTGTAAAAAAAGGAACTATTTACACTTACACCTTTTGTGGCCTACATTTAAAATAGAAATACCATGCTCTTTCTAAAGGTCCTACCAAAAGAATAAATTAGTTACAAACTATTCCACAAAACTGACCTGAATTACAAGTTATATGCTGTTAACAATTACAGCTAGAAAGTCAGTACAGAGAGTTTAAACATGTTTAATGAATGCATTTGAAAGGAACCCAGGAAATCCTTGACAGCCCCATACTCTCTATTTTACGTAGCCTAAGATGTTTGCAGCACTTCTGAGATTCAGACTAGTCACAGAATAGTCCTAATAACAGTTTACTTGAATTGTTACTCAAAATATAATAAACTTCCTAACTAAGACAGCACTTCTATCATAAGGCACTACATGCTATAACAGCATGTAAACCATCAGCAAACCTAAATGTTCAAGTCCACATGGGTTTGTAAGTCAATCTTTCTCTCCTCTCTTTTTTCAGTTATTTTCTAAAAATGCTCCTGGTCCATATGAGAAATGGGGCTCAGAGGCATTTTTGGGAATAGAGATAATGCCTCAGGCTAATGTATTGCTTTGTGGCATACTACTTTTCTTTCTTTTTTTTAATTGAGTGACTCAAAAACATAAAAAATAAAGCAAAGAATTTGGAAGTACCAAGGAATGAATACCATTGTGTCTTGCACAAAGGATGAGGTGTATAAGTTGCAGCACAAAATATTCATTCAAACCTATACCCAAGAATCTAGTCAACTAACAGTCAGCACTAAATTGGTGTTAGATAATGGACAATAGAATTAAAGGGGGGCTGGACATGGACTGTTTGTGGCAACATAAGGAATCTAAGCTGATAATACATTTAACTCTACATCCCATTCTCTTACACATTGTCCCCATATCCCACACTGCAAATCTTTGATTTGATCCTTTCACAACAACCTATACAATGGATTGCACAAAGCACAGCCAGCAAATGAAGGATGCTTGACTCCAACATCATCTTCTATCAGAGCAAGAAATTCCAGGGCCAGGTTACTTGCAGAACCACCTTTGCCTGAAGGTATTTATTTATCCTACTATGTTAGATAGGATGCGTATACACCAAATCCCCTTCCTTAAAATACTGCCACCTGATGGAACCGCAAAGCCATGTCTTCTCAGTGATGGCTCCAGCTCTTTGAAACAGCCTCCCATTGAGATCAAAGGGCTCTCTCCTCTTTTAACCTTCCAAAAAGCTATGAAGATCTGGCTCTTTTATCAAGCATTGGGCTAGGATGGGGATTGAGTGTATGGTTACTTGGTTTGATACCTGGAGGGAAAGGGTACCTTTCTTTTTAACTATGGTTTATGGTTTGTTGTAAACTACTGAAGTTGTTGCATGAAAAACACAGCAATATAAGTCCTATACTGTAAGCAAGCAAGCAAATGAATAAATAAGACAAAGATGCATTGAGTAATACGGTCCCAGTAAATTGACAGGTTTCCATCTCATGTATGGACTAGTTATTTAAAAGTATTGAAAATATTTATTACTTTTTTATCTCACCAGGGGTTATTTATATTTTAGGCTTATAAAAATTCTAGATTAGATAGAATTTGACTCCAAGTCTCCCTAATTTAAAACTTTAACCATAAGACAACACAATAAAACTTTAACCATAAGACAATTCAGTGGTGAAAAAAGTAAGGTTCTACATTTAGGCAAGAAAAACCAAATGTACAGGTATAGTATAAGGGGTACCTTGCTCAATAGTAGTAACTGTGAGAGGGATCTCGGAGTCCTAGTGGACAATCATTTAAATATGAGCCAGCAGTGTGCTGCAGCTGCCAAAAAAGACAACACAGTGCTAGGCTGCATTAACAGAGGGATAGAATCAAGATCACATGAAGTATTAATACCTCTTTACAATGCCTTGGTAAGGCCATACTTGGAATACTGCATCCAGTTTTGGTCACCACGATGTAAAAAAGATGTTGAGACTCTAGAAAGAGTACAGAGAAGAGCAACAAAGATGATTAGGAGACTGGAGGCTAAAATATATAAGGAACGGTTGCTGGAATTGGGAATGTCTAGTTTAATCAAGAGAAGGAAGAGGGGCAACATGATAGCAATGTTCCAATATCTCAGGGGCTGCCACAAAGAAGAGGGAGTCAAGCTATTTTCCAAAGCGCCTGAAGGCAGGACAAGAAGCAATGGGTGGAAACTAACCAAAGAGAGAAGCAACCTAGAACTAAGGAGAAACTTCCTGACAGTTAGAACAATTAACCAGTGGAACAACCTGCCTCCAGAAGTGGTGAATGCTCCAACACTGGAAGTTTTTAAGAAGAAACTGGACAGCCATTTGTCCGAAATGGTATAGGGTTTCCTGCCTGAGCAGGGGGTTAGACTAGATGACCTCTAAGGTCCCTTCCAACTTTATCATCATCATCATTATTATTATTATTACAACACTATTTTTAAAGGTTTTTCCACTAAAAAAACCCAAAGAGCACTAAATGTAAGATTGATCCTTTCAAAATTCTCACATCCCTCCAGTTATCATTTTGCTCATTAACCATCTTCCTAGTATTTTCTGACATCCTGTTGCCACTTATGGGAGAGAAGACATAAAATAAATGATGAGGTCTTCCAAGATTTCACATGTTATTTTGCCAGCACTAACTTATCTATCATTTCTTTCCACCGATTCTTGGATCACCGATTCTTCATATTTCACCTAGCAGCTCACACAGAACCAAACTGCTCAGGAACAACAAAGGTCTTCTAGGATACATTCATCAAGCAAAATAAATCCCATTTAGAACTTCTCTAAGACATTGCAGTGTGCCTCTATAATACTACACATGAAAAGAGCTGTTTTTCAGAAGCTTTTAGTGCAAGACCCCCATCCACAACAAAAGCCTACTGGGTGGGACAACATTTTTCCTTTTTGCCACAGGACCTATCTGGAGCTACCCAGCTCAGCTTATAATTCTATGGTATATCCCTTCTCTAGGTCTTTGGTATAACTGGAGTTGGACAGGGAGGGGAAATGACAGTGTAAGCATTTTTTTTCATTTCCTTTAATCCATTTTCATAAGAAAGTATGTGTATATCTTTAATGTACTGAGAATTATTTTCCCGTTTTAAAAATGCATAACAAACAGATCTGTGGATTTATTCAGAACACAAAGATAAATAAACTCCCTTAATTAAGGCTCCCTGTTATTGGCTACCAGCATAAGAAGGAAGGCAGTGATTCTGAATCCAGGATGACTCACCTTTTAAAGACTTAAGACTTTGTTATCTCTTTTCTTTTTCAACACATTTTTGCTATATTTAGAACTTCCTTTAGTCAAACCATCTCAATGAGATTCTTACATAACCTAATTTACCTCTGCAACATTATGGAATCTAGTCCCATTCTCACAAAAATATCAATTATAAAAAGAGTGACTTTCAGTTGTGGATTTACATTCTGCAATTCCTCTTAATAAGACTGCAAGAATGAGCTTTACACATTATTGCTTTCACTCCCAAATCCTCAGAAGCAACAAGGCATGCAAGCAAGCAAGAAAAAGATCCATTAACATGAGTCCTGACTTATGGGATAGATGATATTTGCAAAACTTTTGCCAATTTCACCTTTGTCTGGTCTGCTAAACTGAAGCCCCAATGCAATCAAACTATTATTTTCCTTACAGAACTCATGATCTCACTAATGAAGAAATGGAGCCATAGTATCTTATTTAAAGATAAACTATATATTGTATCTAAGCCAAAAATTAAACAGCTACTGTGGAAAGCTACAATGAATAGCATTTCTGTTGATATTGATGGCATAGTAGGAACAGAATTACAGACCTACTATTAGAGTAGTATAAAATCCTCATAAGTCTTATAATGCACCATTTGGATTAATTAAATGTTAGGGTTACATACAGACAGAAGAGTGTTAGTAGTATATACATGGCTATTCTCCTATCAAATCGTTGTCTGAAATTGTAGTCTAAGATGTTGGCATCTGTTGCATTCTGAGTTACAAACTTCTAACAGTAGCACTGAGAATATATTTTAATTTAGGGAATATATTTTATATATTTGGACATATAGTATATTTTATTTTGCATAGCAAAGCAAAGTTGCAATTATCTTTGCAAAGATGAATAATATTGTAATACCTCAGAGAAGGAAAGAGGAGAAAGGGAACACAAAAGACTAATTTACAGCTTAGCATGAAGACCAATCAGTACAATAAAATCAAACATTTTTCTGACACAGTATCCTGCCATGTCTTCCACACATCTTAGTCTAAAATCCCTTTTAAGATCCATACAAATATTATTTTCAATTAAATAGATGTTGTATTTTAGATACAGCTTTTTAGATTATACCTGATTGCACCACCAAGTGTGTCCAACCACTCCAAATTCTTCTAATTTTTTCACCCTCAAAATAGTAAGCTTCAATTTTCTGAGGTTCCAAAACAACAGAGTCTTTGCTTAATAGTTGCTTGTGCTTATTGTTTCCCCAAACATATAAATCTCCATCATCTTAAAAAGAGAGAAAGAATAAAATAGCAAGGAAAACATTTTCTGTATTATTTCTTAAGGACACAGATATAGTGATTAAATGTCATTGCTCTATGCACAAATAGTAAAGATCTTAACTTTAAAAAGAAGCTACAATTCAGAAATGCCAAAGCACAAGAAATAATGCATAAGTCACATTGTATGCAATTAGCCATAGTTGCCATAGTTGCAAATTAAATTTCTCCAAAATTTGTAATATATAAACCAAATCATCCCCATGCAAACAAGTGCATCCAGGACATACAAATACATGACCCTGACAACATCAATGCACAATACGTACACACAACGCAAGCATAATAAATATTCCTTTGTCAGCTCTTCATAAGGAAAAAAACATACTGACTAAAAGTTTTTGTATTATCAGAAAAAAAAACATTTATCTTAACAAATCTTAACAAACGACAGATGAAAACAAACTAGGCCACTCAAAAGATGGAGCTGAGAAGACCTATTAGATACAGTGAAAAGAAAAATTAAATACAAGGTTTACCCTTTGTCTTTATTGACGGAATCTTGGCAAGGGTTTTTTCAAAAGTACTTTGCCACAGCCTTCTTCCCAAGTCTGAGAGAAAGTGACTGTGCCAAAATCACTCAGCTGGCTTCATCACTAAGCAGAACTAGAAACCTAAGGTCTCCCAGTTTCCAACTTAGTGCTTTTAACCACCACATCAATCTATTTATTCTCAGCAGTTGCCAAAATTCTTTGGGCTTTAATTTCCTGACTTTTTTTTTCAATACATTTCATTTATTCTCAGTTCTTGGATTTTATTCCAAGCTTATCTAAGTGGTTCAGTTCTGCTTATGAGGATGAAACATGAAAACAGCTAACAAAAATACAGACATAAATCCACAAGTCAAAGTCACAAAAACCATATGAAGGACATTTGAGCTAGTGTTTCAAAGTGGGAGAAGGAAATAGCTGCTTTGAAAACTGAAACACATAAATCATACATTCAGACACTCCTAAGGAAACTTGAACTAATATCAGAAACAGAATGTTTTGTATGGTTAAGCCAAGCCAAAGGAATAGGTGCAGACAAGGAAACATACCAGTGAGTGACACAACATGATGTGAGCCAGAAGCTACACTCCTCACTTTGACATTTTCAAAACCTAGGAGAGGTTATGTCATGAGTTAAAGAGAGAAAATTCCTTTCACAGAGGTTTTTTGTGTTGCGGAATGTCACAAACAAAACTAAAGCTAAAAAATAAAAAGTGTCAGATATATAGAAATCATTGCTGTACAGGTCATGTTGGGTTACTACACTGCAAATAAATTTTAATAGATCAAGGGTCACTTTGATATGGCTGAATATTCTTTAAAAATGCAAGCATACAGATTTACAAATGAAATTAATTTTCAAGAACCACAACTTGGCTTAGGTAGCCTGAGTTGCTACAGGAGTTTGAACTAAATAAACGTTGCTATTATGAAAACTATTGAAAATAAAATGAATAGCAATAATGAGGTTTGAGAATGTCTTTCCTTGAACTATAATGCCTAGATTCTCAGGTTTCCTATAGGAAAAACAAAGCCTTAGATCATGTAGAACACAATATGAGACAAAATATGAACCTCTGTCTAAAGCAGTGGTTCTCAACCTTTTTATACCGGCAACCCCGGTCATAAGGATGCGCTGTGCACGCGCGGGGCGCCACGCATGCGCGGCAGCGCCCCATGCGCGGCATGTGTGCGGTGGCGCCATGCGCGCCGTGTGCGCGGTGGCGCCATGTGCGGCACGCATGTGTGGCGGCGCCCCATGCGTGGCGCACATGTGTGGCCCAGCCCCATGTGCGGCACACATATGCGGCGGCTCCCTTATGCATGGCCCCATGCACGGTGCACATGTGCGGGGGGCACCCCCATGTGCAGCCCCATGCATGGCACACATGCGCGGCACGGCGCACATGCGTGGTGCCGCCAGCTGAGAAAAAAATGGCGGATCGCGTTGTTTGGCGACTCCGTGAAATGGTCGTTCGACCCCAAATGGGGTCACGACCCACAGGTTGAGAACCGCTGGTCTAAAGTGTTGCTCTCCTTAATAGAGAAAAATGAGTCCTAGGTATCTTTGTCAGCTATAAGTTAAATGTGAGCCACTATCATGATGCAGCTGTTAAAAAGGCAATTACTATCTTTGAAAATATTAATATGCTTTGAAAAATTTATATCCTGCCCATCTCACTCTGCAAAATGGCTCTGGGCGGTATATGTGCACAAAAGCCCCAAACATGCATCAATACCATGTATAGCTTTAAACAAAAACAAACCTGGTACTTTGCAAGGTTCCTTTGCCCTCAAGAAGGAAGGAATATTTTTTTCTTGGCACATTCGCTTTGCTTGAGATGCCATACCAATTCCCCATTGAAATACAGAACCATTTTCTGCTCACACAAAAGGAAAATAAATTGTCAAGATTAAAAACAATTCCCCTGATAAAAGCTTGATGAAATACATCAGTGTGTCTTACTGATAGCAGCTTAACAGTTCGCATTTAGCACATAAAATGTAAAACATAATTTAGTTGTACACACAGTCCCTGGGTTACGATCATATGTTCAGCACTGCTATATTCCACCACCACCTTCCTACTGCCACCGCCGTCCCCAATGGACCTTCTTCCTTGTTCTCCTCAATGCTGCCATCTTCTTTTTCTTCCTAGAAGAACTAGAAGACTAGAAGACCTCCAAGGTCCCTTCCAGCTCTATTCTATTCTATTCTATTCCTCCTTTTCTTCAGCATTCACCTCGCTTCCCCTGTGCTGGGTTCATCAACGTCAGTCAGCCTCAGGCCCCATGACAGTGGTGGGCCTTCCCCTGCCCCTTGCTACTGCTCCACCCCTCACTGCCATCTCTGATCCCAGCAAAGACACCATAGGCCTTGGAGCTTGCCAGTGTCAGCAAGCCCAGTGCAGGGGAGGTAAGACAATGTCGAGGAAAAAGAAGACAATAATAGTACGGAGGAAGAAACAGGGAGGAAAGTCCACTGAAGGTCATGGTGGCAGAGGAAAGCCAACAGCAGAATACAGCAATGTCTTCCTCTCAGCCATGCTATACAGGGCAGGCAAAACGACAAATAGCAATAGCACTTAGACTTATATACTGCTTTACAGTGCTTTACAGCCCTCTCTAAGCATTTTACAGTCAGAATATTGCTCCCAACAATCTGGGTCCTCATTTTACCAATCTTGGAAGATAGGAAGCTGAGTCAACCTTGAGACAGTGAGAATAGAATTCATGAACTGCTGGCAGCTGGCAGTCAGCAGAAGTAGCCTGCAGTACTGCATTCTAACCACTGCGCCACCATGGTCAAATGAGTTGTGGGAAATAGGCAGTGGGGATGCTGAAGCAGATACAATTCATTCAGACCAATAAAATCAAGTTAGCCTCTTCTGGCTCGGTGATCCCTTGAAAGCATCCCTTGCCTGTGAAAAATCAAGGCTCAGGGCTGGGAAGAACCAAGACGGGAATAGCTTTGATCAGGGTGGAAAGCTGTCCGAGAATAGGGGTGTGATCGGAAACTTTCTCTGCTGGTTTCTGGTAAGCAGTCACTGGGAAAGCTGGCAGGTCACCTAACCACCACAATCAGAACTGCCTGAACTACTGTTGCTAAGTGTGTGATGTTTCACTCAATAACTACTTCACTGCATAACATACATTCATATCCCAATTAGGATTGTAACCCAGGGATTACCTGTAATATTTTCAAGATCCCTAATATGCTACACCTTCAACCAGTGAGAGGCACTTTGTGCACCTATTTTTAGAATGAGTTCCATACCATCCCAGTTAATGCCAGAAGAAACAATATAATATTGATTTCCAGGGCTTTATTGAATGAAAGTTATTAAGCAATTTATATGGGTCAAATGGCTGAAGGTAAAAGACCAAAATTATCCTAATTATAAATTCTTTTTAAAAGTCTTCCAAACCACTTTGATTAAGTGATCCGTGAAAGTTAAATAATCATCACAAAATATATTCCATAAAATACCTGATTTATATTAGCCTGTCACTGAATATTGAATCAATGAATTATTTCTTAAATACTTCATGTCTTTTCTAGCAAATTCACAGAGCAATTTCAGCTGCAAAATTAAACTCTTCTGATCGGGCACAGTATTATATCTTTATTGTTGTTAATTTCACCGTAAAGGTGTAACTCACCAATCACAGCAACAGCATGCCTGAGTCCAGCAGCAACATTTATTACTTTATCCTGTAAAGACTATGAGAGAAGTGAGAGGATTGGGAGAGGCTTTTAAGGAAATGTATATCATAAAAGATAGTAATCCTATTGAATTAGATACTTGATTTTTCAAATGGCTTTACAAACAGGAAGCATGAAGACATGGTACAATATCCTCAAAACCTACAGCAAAAATTTGCGGCAACTTCTAAAACAAAGGATTTCATTTTTACAAAACTGCTTTTTTTCTTCTCTCTGATGGGGTGATTAACAAGCTTTGGTGGGAAAAGCACCAAAGACCTTGTTCTGTTTTAGAATCAGAGACATCGAAGCAAGGCAGGAGTAACAAAACACAACTTCTTTATTGAGATCACAAACAGAACAGCAAACAAAATGGCGCTGGCTCTTTTATACTTTCCTTGCAGGGACAGCATCAGCCTATCAATGTAAGGATAGTCTCCCACCTTGCACATGCTCACAAGGCTGGAGATAGCCTGTCTGGTCCCGAGCAATCACATGGTCTACCCGGGCCTTCTGCAGCCTCCTGAGCCTGCTGAGTCATTCAGCAGGCCCTGGACATAACAGATCTCTTACCTTAATCATTGCAGGAATAGCGCATCTGCCTGAAATATCAGGAATTCCCAATTGTCCAAAGGAATTAGATCCACAGGAGAATACTTGGCCATTTCCTGAAAGACAGAGCAGCACTTTTGAACACTTTTATTGTCTACCTCAAGTCAAAGGTATTATGAATTTTCAGTGCAATATGCCAGGCAATACTTATTATTTGCCTAGTTCTATGATTGATTCCAATTCATGTAATCATAGACATTCCTTGAACCTCATGACCTCTACTGGTAGTCCTTGACTTACAACTATAATTGAACTTGGAATCAGGTCATAAACTATTACAGTAATAAGTTGAGGCACCCACAAGACCTGACTTAAATTTCCTGCCTTTTTTGCAATGATCATTAAGAGAACACAGCAGTCATTAAGCAAATACTATGGTCACCAAATAAAGCTATTCATTTGAATGGGTGTTGTTGTTTTTGCCAGAAACGGGCAGAATCACAGTCACATGACCATGGAAGGCTGCAACGGATATGTCATATGACCACAGGTGCTGGCGTAACCATTTATAACATCTGGAGGTGCTTGTAAAGCATCCATTCCATGGCCATTGTAACTTCAAATGGTTGTAAAACAGGTTGTTAAGCAAGGGCTACCTGTATATTCACTACTTATTTCTTGCGTGATTTAAATGCAGTGTAAGAACTTTAGAACATTAAAGGGATAAATTATAGGAGACAAAAGAATGAACAAGGGTGAAATAAAAACTGGAGTTAAAGGAACCATATAAAAAACAGAGCCACCAAAACAGCTGAAAACCAGAACTGAAAGGAAGTTTCCTAGCTGCAGAGTAGTTTCAGAGATTTATGTTTATAAGGAAAAGGTAAACACATTTTAACCTTCTGCAAGTCACCCAGAGTCATTGGCAAGTGAATGAATGAATGAATGAATGAAGGTAAAGACAGAACTGTTCTTTAACTTTGTGCTATTCTAAGAACAACTCACCATATTTTGTCTAGCCTAATCATTGTTATTTTAAAAAGCCAATATAATTCAATAAATATTAATTACATCTATATCTCATTGGAAGTAACCGAATGGGACTTTTAATACTAATTTAGCTTTATTTTAGAACTTCATTGTTATGTTGTGCAGTTCTATAAGCACTGGCCACACAGTGAGTACCAAAGTCTTTCTGCATAACTCGTTTTCTTAATTATTGTGCTTAATTCAGTTGAAAATGGTCCCATTTCCAAACATTCAATAATAGCTAATTTTTAAATTTTTATACACAATACACAATTCTGAAGATCTTGGAACCTCTTGGAGGCACACACAGGATCCAAGGCTTTCACTATACGCAATGATTTGCTTCAATATTCATCCAAGCCTTTGCCCAGGGACAGTGAGACCCATCACTTCATCATGTTTGCCAGCTTTATAGTTTACATGTAACTATTTTATTGAAATTCTTTGTTTGATTGTTGTGAGCCGCCCAGAATCATTGAGAGTTGGGTGGCATATAAGTCCAATAAATTACGACAGATTTACCAGCAAGTACAATTGTAAAATCCCAGCCACAGGCAACTTGCACGATAGGACAGCCACAAAGAGAAGAACATAAGGTAAAATGCGTCACATCCTCAGTATGACCAAGTCCCAACTGTCCATCTTTATTCTGGCCACAGAAAAAGATCTCTCCAGTATCTGTGAAATAAACAAATAGCATCAGACTTATCTATAGCCAATGGACCATATAACTCAATAGATTTAACCATATTATGCCAGCAATTGTTATTTAGGAACTACTTTCGTAATAACAATTCTCAGTGCTGTTTTCCCCTGTAACAAAATATTGCATTTGTGGCTTTCAGGTATTGTTGGATTCCCAGTCTCAATCAGAATACCTAACCAGAAACTACTCAAAGTACATATACATACATACAGATATATAAACACAAAATCTACTTGATAGCTCTAAGATAGCTATCTGAATTCCCAACTTGGATGTTTTATCCTACAAATTAAAGCATGCAGGCTCTGCGATGAAAATGCATGTGACATTCATAGGTCTTGTCGCGCCTATGCAGATAAACTATAAGAGATTAAATGAACACATTCTGATTATGGATTTTGCGGAAAAATGGCAAATGGTAGGGCATGTGACATCAAATTCATTATGATGGAAATGGTGTCATGAGAAACATAATAACATAATATAGAGCCGAGGTGGCATAACAGTTAGAGTGCAGTACTGCAGGCCACTTTAGCTGACTGTGTTCAGCAGGTCAGCGGTTCAAATCTCACCGGCTCAAAGTTGACTCAGCCTTCCATCCTTCCGAGGTAGGTAAAATGAGGACCCAGATTGTTGGGGGCAATGTAAATATATATATATACATTGCTTACTGGTGTACACCGCTTAGAGAGTGCTTGCACTTAAAGTGGTATATATGTCTCATAAATAAATAAATAAATCATTTGACATCATCCCAGCTTCAAACAGATACCTATGCAACTAATCTTCAATTAACTTCTATACAGATTTAACCCAAATGTGTTTATTATTGAACTCACTGGAATAGCTTATGATTTAAATCACTGAATCAGTGATCATTTGCATCACCATCTTCTTTAGATTGTTTTTTTTTAATATGTTACTAATTTTTTATAATTACAGTACAAATCTTTAGTGCTTAGTAAACAATGTGTTATCTGGGTCCACATATTTAACATAATAATGCATCTTAAATTCCTACTCTCTAATCCGTTTTTCTAGCCATTGATAAAATACATCCCATGTTTGAAAGTATTCTGTATCTTCTTTCTCTTTCATTTTCAATGTAAGCCTGTCCATTTCCACACAGTCCAAAATTTTCTTAATTATCTCTTCTTCAGTTGGTATTTCTTCATTTTTCCAATGCTGTGCAAATGTAATTCTCACTGCTGTTAACACATGTAACATTAAATATACACATTCTTTATCATAGTTTTCTCAGGTTACCATCTTCTTTAGATTGTTATGTCAATTATTCTAGAACAATTGTAGGAGCATTAAGGTACTTACTAAATGGATTCTTTAAGGGTATAATTAATGAGAAGTCATATCATCATTTCTTAAGTAATTGCATGTTGTTGGTTCGTTTTTAAAATATTCTTTAGCCCCATCTAACATTGGCATAAAATTTCCCATTTAAGAACACTGAAACAATAATATCTACCACAATCCAATTCTGGATGCATGCTTTTTTTCTAAATTCCCTAAGCTGTATTTCTCCTCAGTTCAAAAACTTATCAAAAGTATTTAAAATCTAATTCTATTGAGACCGGCTTCATGTTTAGATATCACTCAAGCCTTCAATAAACCTTGATTACCAATAGAGACATAGGGGAGAGCTACCATGTGGAATTTTGGGGGGGATCTCTCAATGGCCTCTACTAGTATTAATCCCAGAATATTGCTGGAGTGCTTCAGTGGATCAGGAATTGGAGGTTCTGCATTACACAGTGACTCCATTTCTATTTGTAAGACTTGCATTGGCTAATTACAATGGGGAGATTTTATTTCATCTCATGGCCCTTGCATTGTGATGTCTCCTGGTTCTATTCTTCTTGAAAATAGTTATCCAGAGATCTATATAAGAGAGGTGTGCAAATATTTGACAGTTGACTGGAGACGGTGATGAATTGGATAATGACCAATACTATGTATACTGTATACTGAAATGAAATCCAGATAAAATGGAGATACTATGGAAAAGGAGTTCTCAAGCCTGGAACCTGGAAAGGTGTCCTGTTCTAGAAAAGGGAAATATACCCCTCAGAAGAGATATACAGTCTGGGGGCTCTCTCGGTTTCCAGGCTGATTCTTGAAGAACAGTTGGCCTCCATGGCAAGGAAGCCTTATGTCCTGCTACAAATCTACATGGATTCAAGCAGTCTAGTCTCAGATAACTTAGGTTCAGCATCCCTAGTCCTAATAATCTACAACTGGATTATAGCAATATGTCAATGTAGCTTTCTCATCCAGAAGTCACAGCTGGTATAAAATTCAGTTGCCTGATTATTAAGTGAAGCAACAAAATGGAAACAAATATACTAGCTGGTTGCTGTGATATACCAGGCCCAATTTAATAAGCTTGTAGAAGTACATAGTGCTAAATGGTATAGGATCAAGTGCTTAAAAAAGACCAATATCACTCAACCTATATGAGTAACTGAGAAGCTGGCTTCTTAGTGGCAGCACATCTCCTGAAGAGAATTTATTGGAGCTGTTTTTCTGAAAATCGTGCCTGTTCATTTGCAGAATAACATCTGCTTTAGGACAAAACTGCTTTTGTACTGCCTCTTCGAAATGAAGTGATCTCAGCTTGGATTCTTTCTATTTTTATTGTTTTGTTTTAGGAAAAGTAGTGTTATCATTTATTGTTCTGTAATTGCTATGTTCAAATTTTTACTATCTTGTTCAGCATGGTGTGACTCCTTGAGGAAGAATGGGTTAAAGATGATGACAAGTGTGACACAATATCTAACAAACCCTAGGAACATGGAGGATGAAGCCTTTTATAGGAAGTAACAGGGATATTTCAGAAGATTACAGACTCCATTGGAGGTGGAGGTAATGCCCGAAAGAGACTCAAGCTAATTCCATCTTAATTATGCTAGGTATAAGTTGAACTGGAGAATTGTTTTGACAGACTTTTAAGATTTGGCCACATTACTATTTGAAATAAAGATCTTTCCAAGCCAAGGGGTTCCTGTTTCCCGAGTTTGATTTTCTTTGAAGGGCTTGATAAAAAATGTTGAAGATAGCAATATGGAGCAGCATCATAGCTTTAACTTCCTTTTCTCCATACAACAGCATATATATTTCAGTTTGTTATATTATGTATATAGGGGGAAATCTAGGATCCATAAACATCATACAAAAACAGAAATGTAGCTAAGGGTTGTGACTGATCATGCAGGAAGGATCTACAATCTGCCCAGAGCTAAACTTCACAGTACATAAGGAAATATTATAGTTAAGATTTTTACCGGTAAGAATAGCAGAATGACCTCCACCACCAGTAATGCTTTTGATACAATTCTGATTAAAGATAAATGACTTCACAGCCTTCGGCAGCAGCAGATCATTTTTATGACCAAGGCCAAGTTGTCCATAACTGTTTGCTCCCTGAAAAAAAGTAAGGGAGGGGACGAAATAGACTTATTTAAACTTTGATTAATTCAGAGATACCCAAGATACTATCTATTTGTATCTTACAGACCAGTGAGGGCAAATCTTTTATAGACTGAGTGCCCAAACTGAAACCCAAAACCCACTTATGTATCGTCGGGTGCCGGGTGGGCATAGCCCATTGGCTGGGTGTGGCCAATTGGCTGAGTGTGGCTGCGGTGGTAACGCTAGACTGGGTGGGACTAAAAAGTTCAATCAATTCCAACTTTGTGAGATCTTTTTTTTTTCCCGAGAAGCTGAAATTGATTGATTGATTGAACCTGAAATTGATTGATTGATTGAAGACTAAAGCGAAAAGGTTTTATAAAACCCAGCTGAAGGCCTAGGACTGGGGTGACGGTGCACGTGCCCAAGAGAGGGCTCTGTGTGCCACCTGTGGCACTCGTGCCATAGGTTCACCACCACAGTTATAGACAAATACATCATACATTGAACTATAGTTATGGTGTTTTTAGGAATTACTCGTAATTGTTTGTAATAGCCCTTTCCGGACAATCTGTCAATTCATGGTCATTTAGAGATCATCTTTGCCAGTTGAGAGTTCAAACGAAAGCCTATAGATATTGAACACAACATTGTACCCATCACACACACAGCTCTTTATTGAAGTTTTACATTTACTAGTTTATTATTGAAAAGATAATCTTTTAAAACATACATACTAGAAATTGGCAAACCTTACACTGAGTTCAATTTTGTCAACAATGCCTGGCAGCAGAGAGGACTATTATACTTAGATTACAAAACAGCAGATGGCACCAAGGAATTTAGAAAAAGGCTAACTATATATTTATCAGGACTCTTACAGAAGAAGTCTGAAATAATAACAACAACAACAATAATAATAATAACACCCCAGACTTAACAATTGTCGATAAGAAAGACAAAAAAGTCTGGATAGTGGACGTGACAGTGCCTGGAGACAGCAGAATAGAAGAGAAAGAACTGGAGAAGATAACAAAATACAAAGACCTACAAATAGAAATAGAAAGACTGTGGCAAAAGCAAGCAAGGGTAGTACCAATAGTCATAGGCTCCTTGGGTGCAATCCCAAAACAACTGGAGCACCACTTGAACACCATTGGCATTGACAAATTCGCTATAGTCAATTGCAAAAGGCAGCCTTATTAGGAACTGCTTCCATCCTGCGACGATATCTGTAATACCATCAAACATCCACATCTGCCTATCCCAGGTCCTGGGTAAGGACTCGATAGGTAGACAAAATGCCAAATCCAGTCTGAACATCTGGCTGACTGTGCGATGATCCATAATAAAAGTTGGAAGGGACCTTGGATGTCATCTAGTCCAACCCCCTGCTTGGGCAGAAAACTCTATACCATTTCAGACAAATGGCTGTCCAGTCTCTTCTTAAAAACTTCCAGTGTTGGAGCATTCACAGCTTCTGGAGACAGGTTGTTCCACTGATTAATTGTTCTAACTGTCAGGAAATTTCTCCTTAGTTCTAGGTTGCTTCTCTCTTTGGTTAGTTTCCATCCATTGCTTCTCGTCTTGCCTTCAGGTGCTTTGGAGAATAGCTTGACTCCCTCTTCTTTGTGGCAGCCCCTGAGATATTGGAACACTGCTATCATGTCCCCCTTTGTCCTTCTCTTCTTTAAATTAGACATACCCAATTCCAGCAACCGTTCCTTATATGTTTTAGCCTCCAGTCCTCTAATTATCTTTGTTACTCTTCTCTGTACTTTCTAGAGTCTCAACATCTTTTTTACATCGTGGTGACCAAAACTAGATGCAGTATTCCAAGTGTGTCCTTACCAAGGCATTGTAAAGTGGTATTAACACTTCATGTGATCTTGATTCTATCCCTCTGATAATGCAGCCTAGCACTGTGTTGGCTTTTTTGGCAGCTGCAGCACACTGCTGGCTCATATTTAAGTGATTGTCCACTAGGACTCTGAGATCCCTCTCACAGTTGCTATTATTGAGCAAGATACTACCTATATCAGTGGAAGCGAACCGATGGCACGGGTGCCAGAGGCGACACTCAGAGCGCTCTCTGTGGGCATGCGTGCCATTGCCCCAGTCCTAGGCCTTCATCTGCGTTTTATAAAACCTTTTCACTTTAGACCTCCACTGCCGTGTGCAAAAAAATAAAAGGTTCAATCAGTCAATTTCAACTTCTCGTGGGAAAAAAAAACTTGCAAAGTTGGAATTGATTGACTAAACTTTTTAGTCCCACCCAGTTGTTGTTACTACCGCAGCCACGCCCACCCAATGGGCCACATCCACCCAATTGGCCACACCCAGCCAATGGGCCACATCCACCCGGCACCCAACAATGCATAAGTGGGCTTTGGGTTGCAGTTTGGGCACTCAGTCTCTAAAAGGTTCGCCATCACTGACCTATACTATACTGTGCATTTGGTTTTTCTTACCTAAATGTAGAACCTTACTTTTTTCACCATTGAATTTCATTTTGTTAGATAGCAGCCAATTACAGAAGAGAATTTGTCAGCCATACCTGGAGATATTAAGAGCTGAAATACGCCCTTTTCCAAGTTGGTTATTATAATAATGTAAATTTAAGAAAAGTAATGTTGCTTTTTATCTTTCTCCTTTCCAATATTTCTGTTAATTGCATCATTTACATTATACATCTTTCCTGTTAGCACTTTTCTACTTTCAGAGCAATTTTAAATTAAAAAATCCTATAAGAATATTTTATATATAAATAAGCAGCTCCTCAGGAACTCCATCATATAATATCAGTCATTGTATCAAAGATTTTCACACGCTCCTCTTCCAATGTTATTAGTTTATTTATTTAAGCTTACCTACCATTCCAATCCACAAAGATTTTGAGCAACTTACAAACCCCTCTGCGGTTAGAGATAAAAGGCCAGTTACATGAACTTTAGTCACAGGAATAAACATCAAACACATACCACAGCTGGAAACATTTTATTTGTCTTTTTGAACAACTAAGTTATAATATGGAGTCATAGAGTTGGAAACTAATACAAGGATTATCTACATCTAGTCCTCTGCAAGCGAAACCAATGAAATTATCCACGAAAGAGGGCCGTTCAAACTCTTCTTAATTATCTCTAGTGATGGAGAACCCACATCCTCCATAAGAGTAGGTACAACACTAAACTACCTCCTCTCATTTACTGTGAAACAAGGTTATAAAACCAGTTGAAACAACCTTGTCGGTCCAAACAATTGACAGACTGGCAGTCAGCCTAATGTTGGGGTGGGGAGAGGAGGGATGCTTTTCCAAAGAACAAGCTCTGTGGGCTGAGAAGTCTCATTCCTATGGTACATGAAAAGTATGCCTCTTTGGGTGAAGCTAGAAAGCTCCCATAGGTGTACATAATCTCCTAGTCCCAAACCGTAATATAAGCTATCATCCAGAAATGCCTTTATTCACGCATCAGAGAAGGAACAAGATTGTCATTGCTCAAAAGAATATATGGATACAATTTTCCCAATAGCAGTGTTCCAGTATTGGAGAGCTGCCATAAAGAAGAGGGATCAACTTATTTTCCAAAGCATCAGAAGGCAAGACAAGAAACAATGGATGGAAACTAATCAAGGAGAGAAGCAACCTGGAATTAAGGAGAAACTTCCTAACAGTGAGGACAATTAACCAGTGGAACAGCTTGCATTTAGAAGTTGTGTGTGCTTCGTCACTGGAGGTTTTTAAGAAGAGATTGAACAGCCACCTGTCTGAAATGGTATAGGGTCTCCTGCTTGAGCAGGGGGTTGGACTAGAAGACCTCCAAGGTCCCTACCAGCTGATTCTGATTCAATACAGGTAGTCTTCGACTTAGACCATGGTTGAACCCAAATTTTCTGTTGTTAACTGAGGAATTTGTTAACTGAGTTTTGCCCCATTATACAACCTTTCTTGCCGTAGTTGTTAAGTGAATCACTGGAGTTGTTAAATTAGTAACAGGGTTAAGTGAATCTAGCTGCCCCATTGACTTTGCTTGTCAGAAGGTCACAAATTGTGATCACATGACCCAGAGACACTGCAACTGCTATAAATATGAGTCAGTTGCCAAGTGTCTGAATTTTGATCATGTGATCATACTGCAATGGTCGTTAAGTGTGAAAAACAGTCAAGTCACTTTTTTCAGTGCTGTTATAACTTTGAACAGTTACTAAATGAACTATTGTAAATGGAGGACTACCTGTATTTTTACATTGCTAGAATATTCAGCTATTAGGTGGCTAATCCTAGATGCAGCAAATTCCAACAGAGGAGTTCCAACATGAAACTAATAAGTTAGCATTGATTCAGAATTAAGTTTATCAAATTTAATTGTGCCTCTTGACTTACAGGTTTTTATCCTACTGGGTGCTCATTAATTTACAGGGACCAAAGATTTTATGCTGTTTTCTGTAACGCTCCTCACAAAGCAGCCACGACTAACCGGCTAACCAAGTAAGAACCACTGGCCACCAGGGAGCAGCAAATGCCAAAGTTCCACTCACGGCAAGACTGGAATATCCAGACTTTCTCCCCCAATGAGGGAAAAGTCTTAACAGAGACTTTTAACTTTCCTTTTAAGCGTATGAAAGAATTTGAAGGCCAGATAAAACTCTTCGGCGACGCTCTTAAACTGCTGCCATTGCAACTATACGAACAATTCAATTTTCCGAGCAGCGCTGCTGAACGCGTTGTGAATGGAGCTCAGCTCCTTTCGAAAGCGCCCGATAGCGGAGACGTTAAAAGGCTTGTTAATTCGGACTGCGATATGATGGGTGTCTGGATCCACAAAGGAATTAGGCGTGACAAGAAGCGCTTCTTTGCTTGCTTGCCTGTCGGGTAAATTATTAATAGCCGCAGGTGTTTCCCGCCTAGTTTCAACCCCAGCCAGAGCTAATCGACAGCTAATTCTTCCGAAGATATAATTTTAACAAGATCCTGCTAGTTTCACTGATGGGTGAAAGGGAATTGGAGGCGGGGGGTGTAAAAATACTAATCACCACCACCGTCTTGCTGCGTGATGACAAATACATGTCAAACGCTTGATTTGCAAACACAACAACGGTCTGCAAAACGCGGGAAAATATCCACTTGCAAAGACGAAGTCCTCCCCTTTTTTTCCTCGCCCGTAGCCTGACCCACGATAGGCCCTTTTTCTTCCTCCCCGGGCCCGTAAGGAAGGCCACTTCCTTCCGCCCTCTTAGCACCGCTAACAGGGACCTACCCAAGCTAGCAGCGCTCGTGTGTCGTCCTGGCGGGCGACGGCCATAGTAGTCGCCGAAGAAGGCGGAACCCACTTGCGGAAGCGCTGGTGGAGGCCTATAGGTCCGCCTTTCCCGGCTTCTCGCTGCAATTGCTTGCGAGCGAGCAGTTTTACGATATATTCAAACCGAAGGCTGGAGGTTTGTCGACCTAGCCACCCGGGCAGGTAGAGGGGGGGGGGGCTACAGCCAGTGCAGTGGTCGTTTCCCATTCGACTTTTGCAGCTGTGGCTTGGAGCTGTATAGAAGGTGTGGCGATGCGAACGCGTGACTGGAGTGCTGAGCGTGAACCCAGGAATACGCGGACAACACTTGTCAAAGGAGTTGTTTTTGTTCTCTTTGTGTATGTAAGATAAGTGGGTGGGTGTGTAAGACTAAGCCTCCTTTGAGTGGAGCTATAGCTATAGCACTTAGCACCTAGACTTATATAAGACATATATATAAGAGCAACAAAGATGATTAGGGGACTGGAGGCTAAAACATATGAAGCAAAACTGGGCATGACTAGTCTAGTGAAGGACCAGGGGAGACATGATAGCAGTGTTCCAATATATGAGGGACTGTCATAAAGAGGAGGGGGGGGTCAACCTATTTTCCAAAGCATCTGAAGGCCAGACAAGGAATAACGGATGGAAACTGATCGATTCAACCTAGAAATGAGAAATTTTCTGACAGTGTGAACAATCAACTAATGGAACAGTTTGCCTTCAGATGTTATGCAAGTTTCATCACTGGAAGCTTTCAAGAAGAGACTGGACTGCCATATGTCAGAAATGATGTAGGGTCTCCTGCTTTGGGGGGGGGGGAGGTTGGACTGGATGACCTACAAGGTCCCATCCAACTCTGTTATTCTGATTCTTACATACCGCTTCACAGCGCTTTACAGCCCTCTCTAAGCCGTTAACAGAATCAACATATTGCTCCCAACAATCTGGGTTCTCATTTTACCGACCTCAGAAGGATGGAAGTCAACCTTGAGCCGCTCAGGATCGAACTCCTGGAGTGAGCAGTGAGGTAGCCTGCAGTACTGCATTCTAACCACTATACTACATCACCTGCATGATTCCTGGTGGACACATCCATGTCTCTTGGCAACTGTGTTGAAAGAAAAGTCTTCATCCTGGTTCATCCAAGCCGGGGATAAATAAATAACATGGCGACTGCTTTGGGAAGAAGGTTGTAGTTTATTGAAGAGGCAGAAAGATAGTTCTTGCAGGAAAGACCAGAGAAAAAGAAGGGAAGGGCTGAGCACATGAGTAGTAGGTTTTTATAGTCTCTGAAAGCCTTTTGTTTGGAATAGTTTCCTGTTCCTGTGGTATGAACTTTGAGGCTATTTCCTGTGTCATGTATTCTGACCTGAGTTTAGGTGTGCCTCTCTGGTATTCTTTATGGTGATGGGTTAGCCCTATTATATCCTGCTTCCCTGGTTATGGGGCTAATGGTTCCTAGAATTTGGGTGGGGTATGCAGATTTTAGGTCTTTGTCTTCTTGATCTTCTGGCTCCAACTTTCCTGATGGTTTACATCTGCATTTGTACAGGGCTGGCTTCTGCTTGGGGGAGGGAGACCTAGGGCTATCAAGGAAAACTAGGCATGCTTTTCTGTCTCTTTAAGATCCTTGAAGGAAATATATTTTTCTGCCCTCTTTAATATTTCCTTCTCTGGGGCTGACTTCCCACAGTATGGAAGTAGTTTACTGTAGCTTTTTTGCTTCCCAGCCCTGGGATTTGGTGTTGTTTCCCATATTACACATAAATGAAATTATGTAGATGTGAAAAAAATCTTCACACAGGAATATACTGGCTGGACTCACTTAATGACCACAATTGGTGAAACATCTTCATTAAATAACAAACAATATGGTCATTAAGTCAGAGGTAATATGACTACATATGACTATGCTGCACTTTTGATCTCAGTTTCTCTTCAGTGGTTAAGTTCAGACAATCATACAATCATGACTTACTGCTGGCTTCTCCCCTTGATTTTGCTTATCAGAAGCCAGCTGTGAAGCTTGTAAATAGCACTGTGATAAAATCAAGGACCAGTCCTAAAGCTGTCATAAGTTTGAACAGTTGCTAAATGGGGCAGTCATTAACCAAGGACTATCTATTTTCTAATGTGCCCACTGGTGGTCTTAAAACAACTCTGAATAAAAGTGACCTGAGGCATTTGAATTACAGATGGTTTTATAATTGCAGCATGCAAGTTATCATAGAAAAGGTATATTTATTTCGCTTATTTGTTACAACATTGGGAATCTCTGGTTTGGTTGAAGATATCACAAGTCAATATGGTTCTAAATAAGTCTAGTCTGCTTTGGTCAGAGGGACTGACCAAATACTATAATAGTTATTTATTTGTACTTATTTTTTAAAATTGGTTTGCCGCCCATCTCGCTGCAAGGCTGTCATAAAAACATGGTCTTGATTTGCCTCTGCACTATAAAGAGGAAAGAAGCTAAAACAAATACACATTGACATAATCTCTGGTTTATTTCATTTTCACTTGTCCTAACTTCCACCTGATTTAACATCCATCAATAGTTCAACTTGATGGCATCCATGATACATCTGTTGCCTGACATATTCATGATGAGCAAGGCTAGCTAAAAAATCTCACCAGGAAGGTTCTCCTGAAATCAACTTTCTGACAATAAAACATTTTTCAACTTTCCTGAAAGTCCATCACTGACATTTTGTACTCAATCATTTCAGAAGCTACAATTTATGAAATATGCAGACAGAGAGCTGTGTTAGTCTATAGTGATAGAAAATCAGAAAACGTCTGCAGAATCTTTTCTGACTAACAATTTTTATTAAAAGGCATAAAGTTTCATGAATTTTGATATAAATAACTAAGCTGATGAAGTGAAATACTGAGTTTTAGAGTTTGGTAACACTTGTTGAAAAAAGCAAAAACAATTGCTGGCTGTCATCGTAAGTGCATTTTACAAATAGTATTTCACAAGGCCCTATTGTTTTGTTTAGCAAATGGACTGTCACAGAAATTGATGTTGATTAAGGAGAATACAGACTGGCTGGCCCAAGGTTAACAAAGTTTCCATACCTAAAAGAGTACTAAAATCTGGGTCTGCCCACTTCTAGGACCTTAGCCACTTATACTATGGTGGTTCTAAATCAGGGGTGTTCAAACTTGACCCTTTTATGACTTGTGGACTTCAAGTCCCAGAATTCCTCAGCCAACATGCCAGGCTTTCTGTTGATCAGAATTAGTCATGTCTTCTGAATTAGTACTGGTGAGTTTGGGCCAGTCACTTTCTCTTAACCCAATCAACCTCACAGGATTGTTGTGGGGAAAATAGGAGGAGGAAGGTATGTTGAATATGCTTATTGTCTTGAGTTATTTGTAAAAATAATAAAAGGTGGGATACAAGGTTTATGAAACTGGAATATAATTACAATAAACTTACTAAAATTCTGCTCAAGACAAAATGGTCTGATTAAAAATTGCAACTTGCACTGAACAGCTAGGCTCTTCGGTCTGGTATGTAATACTAGTGTAACCAAATGGTATCAGAGTGTATACACAGGTAATATCAGCTTTCTATCTTCATCCTTTATATCTGCAACTAAATTTGATAACCAAATAAAGATATAATGGGATAAGTCAACACATATCCCTACTGATTTTACAGTTTTCACTAAATCATTGTACGATTCCTTTGATTTTTGTTTCAGGTACTGTGTGAACCAAGTTAATGTGTGGTTTGTAAGCCATGCAGTAATTCCAACATTTTGACTTGTGGGCGCTAGAGGAAGCATGTTGTGGGCAATCAGGAAGCAGGGCCTGTCCATTCACAACATAGCTGGCATGATGGCTTGTGCAATCATAAAATAAAAAGTAAGGCCAAGATCCTGGCATACAAAATAGATTCTTAGGTATCCATTTTGCACCTAGGTACCTGCTGATGGGAGAGCATGATATATAAATTCAGCCAGTTTTGGATGGTTCAGCAAGTTCTGTTTAAGTAAACTATAGCTTAGCATGATGTTCAAATTCAATCACAACTTCCCAAATTATAAACGCTGTATGCTATTTGATATTATTCATATAGAAATGTAATAGGCAAAATGGAACATGCTGTCCTTACTCAGAAACAAATGTACTGTACTTATTTATATTCAGAGATAAGAAATATTACATTATTGAATGCAATAATACCATTGTATTCAACTGATTCCTATTAGTAAGTATGTATGTGGCTATAGCTGTGGTTTTTGCAACTAAAAAAAAAAAACACGTTGGGAGATAAACCAGAATACAGGCTTCTTGAGATAGTTTTAAGGTTTTATTGCTCCTTCCATGGCAGCTAATACTAACCATCATTGCTTGCACGAAATAATGGGCTATATGGACCATTAGCTTTTAAATGTAGCATTTCATAATATAGTCTATAAATTTTTCTAGATAAATTATTCTACTTTCTTTTCAAATCATTTTGAAAGGACCTGAAAAGAGAAGGGAAGAGTGGTATGTAAACATTGATATGAATCTTCCAAGAAACTTTATTTAAACAAAAAACATTTTCCTTTCATTGATCATTTTGGAAAGAAGCATTCCGCACGAAGCACAAAAGCAGTATTATCTTGCTAGAATGTGTATGTGTGGGATCCACAGCTACTGAATGCAGAAAGGTTATTCGACAGATTAGATTCCCAGTTACTTGTCCATCTTGCTGAGGGCCTCACTGACAATGTCCAGTTCATGCCGTAGCTCATTCACCACATGTGCAATACTTCGTGGATCTTTCAGGATGTGAACACTTTGGGTATATGGATTGTAATTCACTCCAAATGGGCGTTTGATTGTCTTTGCAAACTCTCTGTTCAGATGGGGGGGAAAGGAGAATTAATTGTCTACATGGTGGCACTTTCAGTTTAAACATTTAAGTAGATTAATAATTGTCCTGCCACTGTTTCTAATCTATTGAATGATTGCCATCAAAGAGTAAAAAAAACGTGGCAGTTGTGATAGGGTGGACCAGAAATAAAATAATGGCCTCCAGATGTTTTCAACCCCAACTAATAGATCCAGTGGCAAGGAGTTATGGGATTTATAGTCAACATTTTCCTACTCTATTGTGACCTATGCAGAAATAATGTCCCAGGAAAGAGACAAGAAAGGAGAGAAATAGTCCATAAATTTGTCCTAACTTGGAAAAAAAATAAACCCAGAGAAATAACTAAAAAAGGAAGATACTCCAGCACAGAGATGCCCCAAAATTAATTATCCCGGAAAAATGATATGAATGAGAAAGTTAAACGGATGCAGAAGCTGAGATCACACAGCAAAATAAGTCATAATTTTGTTTGCTTGCTTGACTTGTAGTTTTCCCTTTTGGTGAAGCCAGCTATCATATTTTATTCCATAAAGCACAGAAAAACTACAAATTACCTTTGTCTATGACCAATTTGCTGGAAAAAAGGAAAATAACAGTATCTAAAATATTTGACATTTTTTTCAGTGTGGCTGTGTTTGTCCTTGATAATACGAAATATAACAGAAAAGGCAAACC